AGCTTGCCCTCCAGGTAAGGCTGGAGTAGGAATTTTGACCACAAAGCCGCTAACCGAAACCTAAATCACCCATCCCAAGCCCTAAGCCTAAAAACTGTTGAACACGACGAGGACTGTTACAGCAAAATAGGTAGTAGCCTGTCCAGTACTGCAAAACTCCGAATCTTGTGAAGATCCCAAAGCATACTATTTGGCTGGAGAGTCGGTTTAGGCTTTTGTTTTTTGGGTTTTGCTAGAGCCTCTGTATAAATAAAAACAACTATAAACAAAAATAAATAAACACAAATGTAAATAAATAAAAATACATATACGTAAATATAAATAAAAATAAATACAAACAATTAAAACATATAAAGCATATAAATACATACAAATATAAATAACAAATAGAAATGTATATATATATATATATATGTATATATATATATATATATACGGTGTGTGCAGTCCTAAAGTAAGCACATGCGGAAACCCTCCCGTTGCGTGTTCTCGCAGTCGCCGCTGAGCTGTCATCATCTTCCTTTGCGGGAACGTTGTTCCACAGTTGCCTGCCACGGCAAGCCAAGCCAGGCCTAACAGGGTTGTAAGCCTCACAAGGCTTCCTAGTCTTCTGCTTTTCGTAATTTAGAGTTTAGGGTTTAGGGTATATTTAGGGTTTAGGGTTTAGGGGTTTAGGGGTTTGGATTACCCCTACAGCCCAGGTCCAGTCATGTAGTCTCCTATCAGTTTGTAGAGCTGAGCGGCACAGCCAGCACCCTAAACTGTTCCTCGAGCTTCAAACTTGATGGCTCCTGCTCTAGTCTCCTTGGCCGGCACACCAATGTAGGAACCTAAATAATTATCAATACTATTTGGGGGCGGTCCAGATTATAAGTATAGTATAATGGGCCCCAAAACCATATTTCGAATTAAGGCCCCTACATTACGTGATGGTAACTATGATAGGAACTATGCCATCTAACATCCGCTGTCGAACTTGGTTGAGCCAGTTCAAGCCTAGGCCGTAGGGTTTGGAGTTTGGGGTTTAGGCGGTTTAGGGGACTGCTTTATGTATGCAAGTTTTAGGTCGAGGGTTTCTTGCTTGAGGCTGAGCTACTCGGCCAAAGATGCATTTGCAGCACTAAACCTATACCTCAAGGCACAACCCTAAACCCTAAACCGTGGCAAACCGCGACTGGCATCTGTGAGCCCCAGAATCGTCGAATGGATGACGCAGGTACCACATGTGCTCGGGTGGTCGTGAGCATACCTGCCTCGTAGTAGACAATCTTCGCCATGTCTCGGTTTAGGGTTTAGGGTGTACCTGAAACTACCAAACCCTACTTTTTTGTAGGTTCTTATTATAAACCTTAATATGGAATTTATAGGGACCCTACAAAAAAGTAGGTTTTGGTGGGTTAAGGTAGGGTTTAGGGTTCAGGAGAGCGACAGTCCTAAACCCTAAGCCATCTTAATCCTAGGAGTAGAGTAGGTAACCTTTAACCTTTTTTGGGTAGTCTAATCCCTATATAATCCCTATACAACCAATAAGGTTAATCTTTAGTTCCCCATGATACCCGACAGGTAGGTAGTTACCACCCCAACACTGGTACCCATGTGCCGGAATTCGGGTGGCCCCAAATCCGGGTTGCCACGGAACCTTTTGCGTCCTAGGGCTAGATCAAGGTTTTTGTTTCTAAGATGCTGCAATCATGGCTTTATGGCCTTAATTCACAGGCTTGATCGAAATTTATGTGAGTTGAGGTTAGTTTCTAAATCCCGGAACAAGACTAACCCCCCAAATCCCTCCAAAGCAGATCCTAAAGCGCCGATTATGGTCGTGCGGAAGGATCTTGAACCGAAGCAACCGAAGCTTCGGAGCGACGGGTATAATATAGAAGTCGAAGTAAGTACCAGTGCCACTCTTATTCCTGAGAGTCCCTTCTCGTTTAAGGTTTAGGGTTTGGGATTTAGGTTTAGGGCTTGGGATTTAGGGATTAGGGTTTGGGGTGCCCAATTATAAGAGCCCAAACGCTATCCTAAGCTACTGAAGGGGAGTGTCTGGGTCGTAGTGGCAGAGGACAAGTCCAGTCCTGGAGCTGCACGGTACCCTTTTCCCATGATCCTTAAACCCTCTAATCCTGAACCCCATGATCCCAAACCCCATGATCCTAAACCCCATGATCCTAAACCCCATAATCCTAAACCCCAGCATCCTAAACTCCTAAACCCTCAACCTCCGATCCCAAATCCTGCTGTCCTTTTGCCGGTCACTGGCACCCCACAAAACTAGGGCTTAGGGTTTAGGGTTTAGGGTTTAGGGGTTTAGGGTTTGGGGTTTAGGGTTTAGGGTAGGGTTTAGGGTGGTTATAATTACAACCTAACAATAACATGAATCCCAAACTACCCCTTGGTTTAAGGGAGGGCGTTCGGCCAAGAGCTTTTGCCGATTCTGCTGAAACGACGTAGTCGCTCCGGAATCCGATGGATTTCAAACCCTGCCGGTTGACAGTTAGTGTTCTAGGACCCAGAGTAGGCCCTTATTCCCTTTTTTAAGGTTAAGGTTCCCCTATAACCACCTTTAACCCAAAAAGGGCACCCTTTTTATTCCTAGGTTACTCTTAGGTCTAGTGTTTAAGGTTTAGGGTTTAGGGTTTGCGATTTAGGGTTTAGGATATAGGGTTTAGGGTGGAGGGTTGAGGTTAGGGGGGTTTAGAGAAGAGGGTTCCTAAAGCTTTACTTGCCCTGAGCAGAGTTCATCACATCGCACAAAGGTTCTGTCATGCAAGGTGCCTTCTGCAGTGCTGATGTGCGGTCGGACAAGAATGGATTGCTTTAGCTAGGAATCCTAGAACTAGGGTTGAGGCTCAGGATGCTAGTCGAGGTCATGGTTTTGAATTCTGTTTAGGCAGGCGGTTTTGTGGGACGCGTGAATTGCATGTGCAACTTGTGCGCGTCCTGTTTTCATCAGGGAGATCGAAATCTATCGGTGTAAGACTCGAACGCTGCTCTGCCCGAGCTGCAGCATTGTTTCTTTATTTAGGGTTCCCCCCGTTTGGTCGAACTTCCATCTTACCCCTCTCAAGCCGCAGCCCAAGAAACTGTCAGCGGTCGTGCGGACCATTTCAGCCTGAAGCCTTGTCTCGTCGCTTCAAGGTGTTGGGATTTGGAGATAGTAAGGGCCACGCTATTTATAGAGGTTAACACAAGGACCCTACAGCTTAAAGGTCTCTAATGGGGTTCCTTCTTTTCTAAAGCCCCCCCTCCAACAAGTTCAATGATCGCCCGTGCTGAGGCACCTTGAGTGTAACTACTTTGCTTTGCATCGTCCTGTGCAGACTTGGTCCTGCCCTGTGTATGAGACGGCACAGAGTGAGTATGGGTGAAGGATGTTTCTTCACAAGTATTCCTTTTCCATTCTCCTTCCACTTCATGGTCCCTACTACAGCATCCTACTCCTATCTCCCAGCCCCCGGAATCCTAAACTCCCGCATTTTCCTAGCTCGCGATAGTCCGTCCCCAACATGTTGTCCAAGTTTCCATGTTACTTATGCCCGGGACTGGTTGCAAAGTCTAAACCCTAAACCCTAAACCCTAAACCCTAAACCCTTAAAGTCTAAGCCACAAAACCCTAAACCCCAACCCCAAAGTTTAGACTGTAGGCCCTAGTCTCTGAGCCCAGGCTGCTTTCCTCAGCTGCAGATTGTAAACCTTTAGGGTTTAGGGTTTAGGGTTTACCTGGAACGCCCTGGTTACCCTTAATGAAGCTACACTTTCCAAAGTTGCTGAATGATCCATCACTGTGGCGCTGTTGCACCTTTTTTTCATCACCAGGCAAAGTTGCTATCAAATGGCAAAGTTCATCATTCTGCACTTTAGCTAGCAACCTTGACCACTACCTCAAGCCAAAAAACAATGAATTGCCTCGGCCAGGTCGTGAGTCAGCATCGATCAAACAGTGGGGATGTTCTTCAGTCAGGATTGATTAAAGGTTTGGAGAGGTTTTACGATTCGGTTCTCGGATTCAACAGGATAGCTCGAGGCTGGAATGGTCTGGATGTAGCGAGTGTGAGAAATCTAAGATGTTGCATTTCTTCGGGAAGCTTCAGTTACAGCTAGCAAGACTCCTAAGTCTAGATTTGCAAGTGCCCACGCAAGAGCACTCTTTTGCGACGATGGCAATGGCTTTGCGTGCCGGGTCGAGCTGTCGAGCTATACCTTAGAGGACCGGTCCAGCATGGGGATGCATCATGGGGTGCAGCCGCAGTAGTCACACACACAGACACATCTACATAAAATAGAAAGCAGAAGCATATATACATGCATATGTAAACGGGACAAAATGCATACACATATGTATATATGAACAAACATATAGACATGTTTATAATTTAAACATGCACACACACATAGTTTATGTAGGTATACACGCATAGATACATGCATACATACATACATACATACATGCATACATACAGACATACATACATACACATACATGCATACATACCTGCATCCACACATACATGCATCCACACATGCATATAAGCGTACACATCCGTGCGAACCTGCTCAACACACATACATGCATGCATACATACATGCATTGAGTCATGTGTTCACTTATTCACGCAGTCAATATTTAGATATAACGTGTATTTCTTTGTGCGGTTGGGGCTTATTTGTTGTTTTAACTGGTTATGGCACGTATGCTAGTACTGTTCGTCGGCTGTCAAGTGTATGGATAAGATTTTGTGGCACATCCCTGACTCCTGATCGAGAACTACTCTAAATATGTGATGTTGCGACTACACATGTGCAGGATGTGGCTATGTGGTGGTCGTGTTCGGCTCCGAGCGGTTCTGGTGTCGCCTTGCTCGCTTAACGCAGGGTGTGTGCATCGGCTGGGGACATGTAGACAAATGCACCTTGCTGGATCGTTGTGCGAGACTGCAGAAGCAAATTTTCGTCTCGGTAGCATTTTGGTCTTGAGGACTGCCGTGTGCGGTAGGGTAGGGGCAATGGCTCCCCAACTGCACGAACTTTTTGAGAAGGTTAAGGCGATCAGGAAGCGCCTCAAGCTGAAGGGCCACCTCGTAGAGTTCCCCGCCCGAGAGCCTGGCGAAGAGGACGAGGAGCAGGACAATCCTATATCTACGAAGTCCATGGGTATGAATGTTCCAGCCTTGAAAGTCATGTTTGAGTACTACCGGTTCACAAGTGGTAAGAAGGTCCCTGTTCAGAAGTTTGAAGCTCAGGCCACTTGCCCGTTGGAGTCAGAAGAATTGTCATGGTGCCCTCGTAGATACATATACTTTTGGGTTTTTTTTGGGATTCGGCAGTTCGTGTCGTCTTGCAAAGAAAGGTCAAGCACCTTTACGAGAATTGTGATGTCGAGCCCAGCAAAAAAATGGGCAGCCGACAATTCTATCTGGATGCGTGGGACTTGAGACGACTTTACTCGTTCAGCCTCCGCAGGCAGAAGGACGCTGAGAAGCGCGGCCAGAACCCGCGGGTTTCTTCAGATCTATTAATAAGAGCGTTTGTGCTTCGTACAATTCGAGGGTGTCTTGAACTTTATGAGGGGTCTTTATTCCTCAGGCCAGCGCTGTCCGGGAGCTGTTTGCACTCATAAAGACCATTCGTGACGAGAAGGGCCAGCATGAGCACGAGGATACAAACGATGAAGAGGGGGAAGAGGAAGAAGGGGTTGAAGAGGACCAGTGCGTTTCGGACTATGAGACGGAGGAGGCGGACACGGGCCCGAGCTCAGCTGAATCCAAGTCCAAGAAATCCAAGAATGCCAAGGGCGCAGAAGCCGCCACGGCCGACAACGGTTCAGGTGTTGGCGAAATCCCTTTGGACTCCCAGGAGGATGCACAGGTGCCCAAGTTGCGCCACAGATCGAAAGGCTCTTTGCTAAGCTTGGCAAGCACAGCTCAGCTTGGCAAGACCCCTGGCAATGTGGAGACGCCTGCCTCCTACACGGCTCCCGTTGCCGCCGAGGACGAGGCAGAACTTGCCCGATTGTTGGCGATGATTGACATGGAGGAGGCTGGTTTGGGCAGTGATGCGGATCCTCACAGGTCCATGTTGGTCATGATGGGTACCCCAGAACGAACTTCAAAAGCTGAAGGCCCGATTGTTGAAACTATCATAGCCGCCATAGCCTCACACCCTGCAGCCTGCAAGCCATCCCAAGCTTAGCATCGCAGTTGCAGCGGCAGCAACACCCGATTGCAAGAAGAAGCTTGACTTTGAGCCGCCGGCTGCCAACAACCCCGACCAGGCGCAGTTGGTAGGCAACGTAGACATAAGACTAGTTTACGTTTCGATCATCAGTACGGACCCGAGCCAAATATTGACTTACTATAGGTTTCCATACATTATGCAACTTAATGGACAAACCAACTAAAGACCCAGCTAAATAAGACACAACTAACGAAGTCATTTCAATGGATTTATAAATAACTTGCCAGCCAGCTAGCTACCTATAGCTACACTAGCTACCTAACTATAGTGACTAAACTAGCCAGTTATGTGAATAGCTCAACTGACTAACTAACGCACCAACTGAACCTGGCTATGGCAAACTACCATTATAACTATATATATATAGTCTGAAATACAAATTAGTCCCACGGCTGACCGAATTTGCATCACACAAGCCTTTCACACAAAGTGACACATGCACATCTCATGTGTACACATATCCACGACGGGACCTCTGTAAGGCCTGTGCTATGCGAGTAACATGTCACTATACACATGTATACGATAGCATGTGTCTATGAGTTCACTTGCGCATACACAGAAATGTGTTTACATACGTGTGTCTATGTGCACAACATCACTTAAATATGCGCATCTACGATAGTGTGCAGAAAGGTATGTGTTTGTGCATGCACACGTTTACCGGTTTTGTTTATCTTCATTGGGTGTGCGATTGTCTGGAGTTCGATCATTGTGAACTTACCGGCACTAGTGATTGTGACATTGCAGGCAGACACACTTGTTGAAGACCGTGGTGTTGCGAACGGGCCAGACCATGGTGTTGCGAACGGGCCAGACCATGGTGGTGCGAATGGGCCAGACCATCGTGGCGCGAATGGGCCTGCTGAGGCGATCGAAGTGGATTCGAGTCCAGAGAAGATCAAACAGGAACGGGTTCGGATCACGGTGAGTCAAATTAAGTTCGGTATACAATTTTGGTGCTGTTTCCTGTGGTTTTACCTTTGGTGGGGGATTCGATGCAGGAGCCATCATCCCCTACCGGGCCTTCTTCTGTGGCAGAGCCTGTGTCCCTCGATGCCCAGAATGAGCTCCGACAGAACCTGCGAGCATCCATCCGCCGAAAGCGCAAGAGCAGGAGCAAGCGTGACTTAGCCAAGGCCGCCAAGTCCAGGAGAGGCAAGCGCAAAGGGAAGGATACCTCGGGTGATGATAATGATGGTGAGGGTGAGGTGCCGGCAGCTGCGAAGACCAAAGGCAAGCGCAAGCGGGGCACTTGCGATGCAGATCCCGTGCCTGCTTTGTCAACGGCGAAGCCTAAGGCAAAAGCGACAGCAAAGGCCAAAGCCAAGACAAAGGCCACGGCAAAGGCCAAGGCGAAGAGTGCGTTGCCAAAGGCAAAGGCCAAGGCTAAGGGGAAAGCCAAGGCGACAGCAAAGAAGAAAGTGGTGAAAGTCACCGAGCATCCGTTGAGGCTGGAGCCGGATCGAAACCGAACCGGCTACAGTGCTTGCGGTACTTTGGTGCTGGGCTGCTCGAGCTGTCGATGGTTGGTGATGGGGTGCGGAACGTGCCTTCGCACAAACTTCCACGGAAAGAGGTGGAACAAGGTGGCATGCCCGGAGGAGTGATAGGATGATAGGACTGCATGAGATTAGTGTGGCAGTCATGTGGTATGTTCCTGTGGTATGCTGTGGACCCATGCATACATCTCGAGATCTTCCAGCTGGCATGCTGCTCGGTCCGGCTATGAAGCCTTTCTAGGGGCTGATTCTTGATTTCCGTCGCTGCAGAAGCAGCGACCAGGTGTTTTGGCATCATTTCTATAGATGCTCTTGGGCGAAGCCTTCATGGGGCACGGGTAGGGATGAATGCTGTCGTGGTTTTTGGAACTATACATTTCAGCTGTAGTGGATGGGACCTCGCTAGAAAATCATGTGTTGCAGCATTGTCCATTAGAACCTGTGCTGGTAGACTTGGAGGCTTTCTAGTTACAGCTGGGGCTTGGCTGAGTCGTGAGCAATCTGCTTCGCAACAGCAGCAAAAAAAGCGATCGAGATTGTCGCGATGTGAGTGCCTCTGCTAGCTTCCAGGTGAAGATGTAAACTAGATGTGTGTGCTGCTAGCTTATGCTTGCACAGATCCGGTTAGCATCTGCAAACTTTCTCGGGAAACCTTACATAAAGTCTATTCTGAAATGTTGGAAACCCTTCCCTAAACCCTATTCTGAACCCTTTCCCTACCAAGGCCTTATAGATAAACCGTGAAACCCATGCTGTAACTCACCCCGAAGCTGCCCTTGCCAGGTTCCACTGGATCTGCTGGATGAGTGCTGCTTGGAAAACGCGGCACAGAATCAGCTCGGCGGCCAGTGAAGGTGCGCCCACAGCCCCTGCATGTGTTCGTGCAAACAAGACTGGTGAGCGCAGTCGTGCTTTGACGTGACCTTACATGTGCAACTGTGCAACTGTAGTCGTGCTCGAGCTAGTGTTGCAAAAAGCTTTGCAGAGTCCCGTCTGGGCCATGACACCCGTTGAACTGGAGACCCTCCTCCGTCGGCTCCTCGCTGTAAATGGGCCAGGGGCGCCTAGGCGAGATTTTGGCACAACACTAGAAGCACGGTTCAGAATCTGAGTGCCGTCGAAACGGGCACGGCCTAGTTGAGGTGCTACTGTGTGCCGTTGTACTCCTCGTCTTCAACACTGCGATTGATTCGGAGCAGGCAGGACAAAATAGATCATGTTAAACAAAAGCAACAACTAATTTCTTCCCCAGGACTACGATGCCTTGGAGGTCTTCGCTGGAGTGGCCTCACTCTCGAAATGCTTGGGGCTGGCTGGCTACCGTGTAGCTACCCTGGAACTGAAATTCTGGGATGACTATGTAAATCAAGGGCTGGGGTGTCCAAATGCTCGGAACCCAATGGACATATGCACTCCTGCAGGGATGGCGCTTCTGGGCTTCAATGTATTTGTTTCGGTTCATGGTCAGCCACACGGAACTGTCTAGATGTATGAGTAGACCGAAACGCAACCCAAAATGAGAATAACCAAGACTATAGTACGGTCTGGGGCAAAGGGTGTATTGCATACTTTAGATCGTACTCTATCACCAACTTAGATAGCAAGTTGTTCCTTAAACTTACATTATTATTATATAGCTGTTCTGGGACCCGAACTAACCGTGGAGTCAGTGTGACCCCTTTGTATATATGTCACAATAAGCACCTTAAACCCCCTAAGCCAACCGAGGCTGCTACTTCTGAGCATCTTGAAGGCCAAGGATGGGGAGTTCGTCATAGCCTTCGGGATGGAATGTTCGAGCTGGGTTACCATTTCCAGGCATTCCACCAAACGATCATATTTCGATCCCCTTGGTGACCGAAGTTCAAGACGTGTGGAGGATTCAAACATTCTTTGCAGCAGGACGGAAGGTTACTAGCGTTGCAGGCTTTAGAGGTCCCATAAGTTGTAGTAGGGATCGGGGCGTGTGGTTTCCCACGTTTGCCTAGGGTTATGCAATGGCCGGGTTTATAGTGATAGTCGGTTTCTTGGTTCAGTCCGAGGTTCAGGATCGTACCCCTCCGCCTCCCCAAACCTGTGTGTTTCATCTCTTCCCGAACACGACATGCCGGCTTGTGCGAAGGATGTGTCTGGCTATATACCTGACGCTCGCCAAAGCTGGCACCTGGGTCCTGGAGCAACCAGCATCCTCGATTATTTGGAGGCACCCACGCATGCAGGAGCTCCTGAAGGTAACAAGAGCGCCTCGGAAACAAAGGCCCCTGTACCCAAACCCCTCAGACCCGCTGAAAAGGTCGGGTCAGGTCTTGAACACGGGGTTTAAAGCCAAGACACGGGTTCTGTGTTTTCGGGATGTGAGAACACGGGTTCTGCGTTGTTCGGGATATAAGGTAATGAAGCGAGAAAAGTAATCGTATGTCAGAATTCGAAGTATGGGCATGGAAAACTCATATGAGAAGATGCTCTTGATGCAACAGACTCGGGTAACAATCGCCAAAACTGAAGCCGATTTTCAATGCTCTGGATGCACGGGGCGCACGTCACTCAGCTTCCACGATATACCCGGCTGTCACCCAATGTCGGTATGCAGACTGTAGGTATCGCTCGATCACACGTTGCACTCCCGTCGGTGTGGGTGTTCGTCGTGATAGGCGACTGGGTCTGCCAATGAAATCTTCTTCGGCCTGCACCCCCCAGACTATGGGGTTGATGGAGAAGCCTGCTGCCTGGGAAGAATGCAGGAGATCAAGCATAATATGCTGAATTGCATGCCCCTTTGGCATGATCACGAACAATGCCAGCCCCTGCTCATGGGCCTTGGCAGCTGCTTGTGCGTACCTCCTCAAAAACTTTAGTCCCAACTCTGCCACTCGCCCAGCGATAGCACGATCAAGAAACACGTCATTGGCGTACATGAGCCGCAATGCCTCCCGCATTGCTGCCCCGCCTTCCAGTGCACACATCAAGATGGGATCATCGGTGAAGTCCTCCGTCTCGGCCCTGTGCTGCACGAACTCAAACAGAACGGTGGTCAGGGCTCCTTTGAACCAGGAGCCGCTGGGGTATTCGCTTGTAGATTCCCACTGCAGCAGCTCCTTCGAAATTTTTTTGATGTATGATGTCATCCGTCGCTCGTGACAGAACATGGTGTAGCGAGAAGAAAGCAACTCAAAGCGCTGATCAATGTTTCCCGCTGCTTCACGCTGTGCCATCATCGCCAAGATCGAACCCAGGTAATTCTTCCCCAAGCCCAGGTTCCAACAGTGAAAGATGTCGAAGGTCCACATTCCTTCCAACTTGTTGGGGCAATGAGGGATGACTGCGAGCTCCGGCACAGTAGCAAACGGGCTTTCTGTGAAGACTGTTGTCAACCACTTGGGTTGACGTGTAAGAAAGTCCTCGAACGGGACATGAGATTGCCCCGCTCGGCACAAGTGGCATATCCCAGCCGGTGGCTTTTTCAGAACAGCCTTCTTCTGCGAATTATTGAATGAGCGCATGAAACAGCCTGATTTATGTAACCATGGCCAATCTCCTGAATGCTTGATAACAAACATTCGGTAGGTGTTGCCTTTGGTGTCTTGCACACCAGTCTCTGCCATGAAAGCGGCCTGCTCGGCGAACACGGACATGAGTACATGAAAGTTTGCATCATTGGGGCCATAGTCAGCCCTGGGAAGCACACCACAGAGAAGTCTGTTGGTGTACGTGTGCCCGACATAGTTCGTGGTCATCTTCAGATAGCCTTTGAGGACTTTCTGTCGTCGTCCAGATTTGCTCACGGCTGTCGTCGCAGCGATAGTTCCAAGCCCCAAAACTGAGCGGTAGCTGCACACCAGAATCGGGGCACGGCGTTTGGACCGTCCTTCGTCCCCGTGAGTGATCAAGGCTGCACACCGGCTCAAATCATAACCAGACGTGTATATTGGATGGTCTGGCTCCAGTGCACGATACTTGCTCCAGAACTCTGTCCAGATTGCCCGCTCTCGCTGCTCGTTTGGTTTACGTAGACCACACAAAATGTGCCAACAGTTGGCCTTCAAGATGAACTTTGCCCAGTCTGATAGGTGCAAGCAAAAAAGGCGTTCGGGCTCCCCACTTTCCAATTTGACTGGTAGGGCTCTCAAGGGTATTGGAAGAGCAAGCTTCAGCTTCCCTACCAACAGCCGCCGGGTGCTTTGCTCTGCGTCTCGTTCCGAACAGCGGGAAAGTTCAACTAAACCACCTGATTGCCTTGCGGCCTGCTCGCCGATGTCTTTCACGATGTTCTTGGCTGCCCGCACTGCAGACGAGCAGGTTGCCTCGGCGAATGGAAATAAAGACAGTCGCAAAGACAAGATTCTGTCGTTATGGATACCGGGCAAAATCCGACTGATGCTCTGTGATGCTCATACCAAATCTCTAGAAACAATTGCAATATAGGTAGATTGATCAGAGACCGACAAGGAGTAACTTGTCTGGATTTCTTTTAGTGCCCCGTGGATAGTATTGTAATTACTCGTTTGTGGTTCAGCTCCAGAGCCTGTGACTGGACGAGCCTCCTACACATATAACGTTACAGTGCGAAGCATGTTACTGCGTAGTCGGCCTCCATTCAAGAGCCCCGTAAAGCCTTGAAAATGAAATCTCCAACATGATAATCAAAACCCCAATTAGTTCAAATCCCTCAAAACCTGTAGTGCTCCTGTGTGTCGATGAATGCATAATTTTGCCGCAGCAACGTGAATCCGCCGAGTGATCCCACTACACGAGAAGCCACCAACTTAAGCCAGAAATACACACAAAATCCAGGAAAAAACAACCTACTTAAATACATATATATATATATATAGAGTCTATATATATATATATAGATATACAAATCATTATATATACATATATATATATATGTAACATATACGACCTTTATATGGTGCTCGTATATGTTCCAAGCCCTCATCAATCACCAATATGTTTATATATCTCCTGTACTTAAAGGATCATGGGACTTAGTGACTGAGGTTATAGGTAAGGTAATATACTTATAAGCACTTATAAGCCCACTTAAGGTACTTATAACCTGACTTACTAAGTCCCATGATCCTCCAAGTAATATAATATTATACTAGAACACATTATACCTTAAGCCCCATACACCGAGCTCGTGGCCCCTTCGCCAATGTCGGCGCTGAGCCCACGAACTGCATTGCCTGGCTTGATGCCTGGCCGGAAGCATAATACATTAGTTACTTTGCATATCCCCATACAAGAACCCTAAAATCATCACTTTTGCACCCCAACGACCCCAGTGGCACCGAATTGGATGCACACTTGTGGCGAAAAACCACAGTGGTCCGAGTGGCCGTGGCTAAGATTTCTTCGGCATGTAGGGTTCAGGGCTTATGGCTTAAGGTTTAAAGGATTCTCAAGCCGCTGGCACATCGCGGCACGGCCACCAATCGAAACAGCAGGGCTTTTCCCGCCGTTCCAAAAGATTGATTGCACTCTAGAACGATCTAGCAGCTCTCCTACTTTTTGCTAGCCTTCTTGGGCTTTGCCTTTGCATCTGACTTGGGCTTCGCTTTGGGGGCCGCGGCCGAGGCTGACTTCTGGTAGTACTTCTTGGCGGTCCTGCGAGTTGAGGGCTTCGCGATTCGGAGCTTGGGGGCTTTTGGGCTTTGGGACTTTAAAGGGGCTTTACAGGAGGCTTACATAATATAACAGGACAAAAATCCCGCAAGCCCACTTGTTCTGCGATGGCCTCACTTTCTGCTCCGTAGAAGCCGCACGGGAAGCCCTAAGCTGCAATGATCACAAATTCTACGGCCCACATAATTGCGATTGATACTTCTGCTGAGCAGCGTAATGGTAGCATCCTTCATTTTCTTCTCGGCCTGCTGGTAGAACCTGAGTCACAACAACATACATAGTATATTGCACACGGCATCCCTCGCAATACGACTTTTCAAGATAAGCTACTTCTCCCCGTCGTCCGTTGGCGTGCGAGGTGCATTGGCGAGGATCTCGTTCAGCTCGTCATACAGCTTCTCCAGGTTGGCGACCTCCTTTTGCAGGCTGCCGATTGCCCTGAGCTGTGGCGGAGGAATGCTTTCAGAGATTCATGGGTTGGGCTCCGGACTATTATTTTGAGCATGGCACTTCGTAGCATCAGCATCGTCGAACTGCGTGCTCAGTTCCTTAATCAAGGCCCTCATCTTGCCGATCTTCTGCATCATGCTGGCATTGTACTTCTGCAAGGTCTGCTCGGTCTGCAATCAGACAGAAATTGCGAGTGTGCGATTTGGGGTTGTTTGAACAAAGGAGGCTTTAGGATCCAGGCCTGGGCCCATTTGTGCTGATTGGGGTTCGGTGTTGCCTGGCTTCCATTCGCCCTGCTTTGATGAGTCTTCTTGCTCATGTTCTCCAGACCAGCAAAGTCTTTCAGATGCGGGTCGACTTCGGGCATCTCAGCACCCTAGGTTCATCAGGGCAATGATAGATGATGGGATATAATCTATGTAACGGCTTAGGGTTTAGGGTTTTAGGGCTTAGGGTTTATAGGGTTAGATTTGTTGCGAGATCCAAGCCTCCTGGGCCTCCGAGTGCCTTTCCTCGTAGCTCTTTTCATGCGAGGTCTTGCCGGATTCTCGAATCAGCACCCAGTATTCTTCGATCCCGTCATATTGGTTTTTCCTCTCGCACAAGAATTGGTAAACTGAATGAAACACATACACACACACAATACACAGTGGGTTTGAGTTTAAACAGGCACATTCCATGGAGCCTCACCAAGCCTTCAGCTCGACACTTGGCAATGGCACCTTTCACCCGAGTCCTCAGCGCACAAAGACAAGACCGCAGAGCAAGCAAAAGCTCCCAGTATTATCAGGCCGTGCATAACCTAGAAAAGTTTCTCGGACCATTTGAGCACGTCGTACAGCTCCTGTTCGCTGTACCAGCCACAATCGAGGTTCAGCTTGGCCTTGCTCTTCTTGCTCACGATGATCTCAAGCTTCTTGATGAATTTCTCCTGACCATATCTTGGGCTTGTAACCTTATATAATGTAAACTGTAGATCAAGAACAAGGAAGCATAACCCCGAAATCCTTGTCGAAATTCTCGGCTTGCAGAACTTGAGCCATTGCAGTCTTTCGACCGCTCTGGCTCCATTCGTTTTTTACCCATGCCGGCACTTCGAGGTCTTTGCGCTTGCTCTTGGGGGCACACATGCGATCGATGCGGGCCTTCGCCGCCCGGAGGAGTTTCTCCTGGTTATGTTCGTGGGCTTTGGAGTTTGGGGATTCGTGGGATGGGTTTGGATTAACTAGGAAAGTTTGAATCTTACGTGACCCGTCCTGTCTGGTCAGCTCCCGCTTCTCCTTCAGTTTCTTCGTCTGTCTCATACCATCGTCGTCCTCGTCATCGTCGTCTTCGACCTTCGCCCGCTTCGTGCCATTCGCTTGGTCGTCACGTTGCTGTTCGTCATCACTGCTGTCCACCAGCAATGTTTCAAACAACAGCTGTGATAATGCCGCTGCATCTGCCTCGGTCGAACTAGGTTTTTTCTACAAAGAAAGTGTGGGGCTAGATTTTCTGGTCCTGAGGTTAGGGCGGCCTTCTCGTTCTCGTCCTCGGATTCCTCCGGACTCTCCTTGTCTTCACTGTCGAAGCTGTGGATGCTGTAGGGGTCCGCAGTCAAACCCTGTCGTGCTAAATCGTCGGCTGTAGCCTGGCAAGGGCGGATGTGTGCGTTTATATTACGTAGCAGCCACGTGTTCTGCTTGCAAGCCAGCAGCCGGCACAGTCGTGGCGAGAGACGTAGACGGCGACATAGGAGGTGGACTGTCCTGGAAAGGAGATGCTATTTTTTGTTTAAAGTCAGGCTGGGCCGGTTAGGGGGTCTAGGCAAGCGGTTCCTGAAGGGTCTCAGAAAAATTTGGTTCCACCGGCTTGGCCAACATTGCGGTCGCGGGTGTATCGTCGCCAAGAGCAAGATTGATGTCCTGCACCAAGGACCACACTAAAAGAGTAAAGAGACAGTGCATACATTATATATATATATATATATATATATATATATATATTATATATATATATATATATATATATATATATATATATATATATATATATATTATATTGTAACCACCCACGAAACCCAAACCACCCCACCACCCCTCCCCAACCCCCCACCCCACACCACCCCACCCCAAAAAGGCCCCACAAATCGAAGAGCGTAAGCAACCTGCCCCCACCAGGCGCGAGCATCATGAGCATCAGCCGGCCGGGTTTGGGGCGAAATCGGCCTGGGAAAATGGGCCCGGACACCGGGGAACCTTGTACGGTCACCTTACTATAACATAAGACAATATCATATCATATATATATATACAGTATCATATCATATATAATATCTAATATGATATTAATATAGGGTTTAGGGTTTAGGGTTTAGTATTTATATATAGGGCTTTGCAACGTATTTCTTTTATTCTTGCTATAACACAATTTTAAAATGCATAGTATAAGTCCGTATATACAATGGATATTTTGTGTAATTATATCATTTACCAGAACGATCGTAAATACAAAATCTTTGTAGATAGTCCTCTAGCTCACGTAGCAAGCGAGCAGCTTCGGCGTGGTCAGCAGGGTTTGCTGCTAGGTTCGCACAGTCCACACCATCAAGAAAAGATTGGCAACTCCACAATTTGGAGATTGGCTCCATACTAACTGTACACACACAATGTCCTTTGGAGCCCAGGACTGAATACATTGGCAATTCCTGAGCGCTGGCATACGATCGAGCAATCGGAGGAGAACCCACTCTTTTGGCTGATTTCTGTGCAAAGCAAAGATTTGTCTGCGGGGATGGCCCGCCGAATTTCGAATTAAGAAGCCAGGCAGAAACATTACCTTCGATTGGGTTTCGGGCCTGCGTTTTCCTTTGCAACACAGCTAAGAAACCAAGCTGGGGGCTACCCCTAGAACCCATGATTAAATCACGGGTTATCATGGGTAAATCACGGGTCTGTCACGCTTTCGTCACGGGTTGGCCGACCCGGGGTTTTGGTATAGGATAATACATATCACGGGTTCACGGGGTAGCGACCCTAGGTTTATGTTACTCAAACCCGGGGTTTCTAGATACCAAATCACGGGTTAGGAGGGGTAAACCCGGGGTTTTAGCAGTGAGTAGGTACCAGACCCCACTAATTTCGCGCAAAAGTTGCTCAAACCTATTATTGGTGTTGTGAAACCCCAAAGCAGCCACGATCTGCGCCCGAAATCCCGCAACCGAAGTGCCCAAGCCCCTCCTGACAGCCCCCGCTAGGTATTCTAGGACAAGCAACCCAAGCATTCTAGGGCACCGCTGCACCACCCTGAGGGAGAGGCAAGGACCTGGGTATCAAAGGTTTCCACTCACTAGGAATCTTCAGGTGTTTCCCTCCTCTCAGGTAAAGGAACACCTCTGGCAAAGAAGCAAAAGCCCATAAATCCGAAGCAGAACCCCAAGCCATTGCTTGAAAAGTCGAAATAGCCGGTGGGATCTCACTGGGAAGCTCAGGACAGCCCCTTCTCGACTTCATCAGATCCTCGCTGATGTGCACCATAGCGGCGGCAAAGTCCTTCGGGTACGTCCTGGGATGCAAGAAGGATCTTGGGAATTCTGGGCAGGATTGGTATAATCTAAGGGAAACCAAATTGTCAGCCCAAGCTAGGCTAAATACAGTTATATATAGGTACACCATATATGGTGTACCTATATATAACTGATTATTATATAATATAACCCACCTAGCCCAAAACAACTAGGGGATCCCTATTGCAATGGTTTTGGGTAGATAAAGGGAAAGCTTCTTGATGGATTGTTTTACAAGGAGCTGGGTTCCAGTCAAGTCTTTTGTAGCGGTCCAACAGGCTTTGTTATTCTTGTCATAGGAATAATGCGCTGTTTTCTTCTTCTTCTGGAACTTCTTTACCTGGAGCTTCCCTTTGTCCAATTGGTGCACAGACTGGCTGTTGCTGTAGAAGTAATGGCGTTTGGGGGTGTCTGCCCCATATAGGCCCATCCATAAACTGGTTCGTGCCACCTTACATCTGACCCCAAAACAAAATCACTAAACGCAGTATACCCAACTCAGAACCCAATTCGCTATATCTGAGTCAGAGGCAGCAAACGGGCCGCCATGATCGCAAACTGCTTGCATCATCCTCCTCCAGCATGGATAGTATTCCAGGACGGAGCCTTTGGGCTGCTCAAGGGTCCAGGCACCCCCAAGAGCAGTGTTCAGGAGTATGAGTAAGGTTGTCCTCCCAGGGAAGCACAGCATACACTGCCGTACAACACTACTAGTACCCCAAAGCAGAACCGAGTGTAACCGTTCTAGTCCTTTCCAAAAGTAAATTGGCGCTGCGTACCGAATCGTACATAGAGTAGCCAACTGATGAGCAGGCAGACCTTCGAGAGGTTCCCGTATTCATTTGACAGAACGAGGAGCATTTGATACCGTAGTGGGTGAGGGACTGGTCGACGGTCGTCCGAAGGACGGCCATGATGGCCAAACTCAGTTTATGCATTGCCACCAACTGAGGATCAACACTGGGGGATGAACACTGCATGTATACAGCTTCCTGGAACATACAGCTCCCTGAGATTTAGCTGAAGCTCGCAAAACCGGAGCTCGCTGCAAAGTCCATAAAGTTGCTACGGCCCGGAGGAGCTTGATGATCCACGATATCGAACCGCAAGGAGCGGTAGTGCTCCTGCATGCCCAGAAACATGTTGCCGACCCCGGCGAAGAACTCGATGAACTGCACGTCCTTATTCGGAACAATTCTAAACCCTTCTTGAAGCTAGCATAATAGGCGGCGGAGAGTTTGTGGATCAGACAAGTTGCGCTCTGGATGTTGTCGACAGACCAGATAACGAGAAGGACGATGAGCACGAACTCCTGACGGTGAACAAATTAGATCACTGTTCCATGTATTATAATCCACCCAAACGTACTTCTTCTCTAGAGCCCCTGCAGAAATCCGATTATTCGGTTAGTCGCAAGCCCTACAAAATAGCATTATAACCTGAGCTCCTTCGGGGCGGCGAGTTTTGCCAGGCGGTACAGGAGGCTGTCGAGGTTCATGGCAACAGTATATGCTATGTTGGCACTCTAATGGAAGTCTACTCAATCGGCACTTTCGGCCTTAGATACCTTTTGCAGAAGCATCCAGAAAGAGGCCAGTGGTACAGACTCTGCTGCGGCACCTAAGCCCTTGAAGGCAGCGATTCACAGAAGCTTTTGGAAACAAGCACGACTAATTCCTGCTGGACCCCAGCACACAGAAGCATGCCCCCACTTGGAACAAAAGCTGCCGGATGCACTCTTCCTCTGCAGGACCTTCTTGCGAACCTGCCACAAGTCGCCCTTGCGGAGCACCATGGTCTGGACATCCGGACCTCGGCAGTGGAGGGAGCTAGAAGCAAGAAGGGCTAGAGGGTTTCGGAGGGTTTAGGACTATAAGGTTTTTAGTCCTGGGACGTAAGGGCTTTGCAGGGTCTTGGATGATGTAGGGTTTTTAAGTTTAGGGCTTAAGAGTTTCGGAGGGTTTAGGATTGTGTAGGGTTTTTATTTTTTAAGGCGTAAGGGTTCCGAAGGTTTAGGATTATGCAGGGGCTTCTAAGGATTTTTATTCCGATTTTAGAACGTTGACAACATTGGGACGTGGGTTCAAACCCTGAGCTTCCTAACAGCGAACTGTCCCAGTGATGCACATGCAGCAGACAGCCGGACGTTGATTTTCTCAGTGCCCGCGTGGAACGATTCTGTGATCTGAGGCTGTTACTCCCAGCCAATGCTGATACTGAAACTGGCGCTTGCTTCTCTATGTGCAGCAGGGACCAGCAGCCTGGATTTGCAATATGGGATTCTATAATAGATCAGAATACTTGAACGATGGAAAGCTTGTCACGGCCGCCGCAAAAAGCCCAACTGCACCAAGCAAGAACGACCTGCTTCCAAAACAACCCCAGACCTTGTAGAAAGCTTATACTATGTAAACCCTGATCATGAATAAGATAGTGCTGTCGATGTGAGCTAGAAGGGTTGTCCTATTGACCGATGAGGTTGTAGACAAGGAGAGCAGGTCGCATTCCCCAACCCGATTGAAATGTCACCTTTCTACGTGTTGGCACACCGGGGTGTGTCGTTGCATGACAGACTAACATGCGCACGTAGGTCGTAGGCAAAAGCAGAGTGAAGCGCTTCACTCGACGGAAGACTGGAGCTCTCCTACTGCAGCTAGGCCTGCATCTCTCAAAGTCTCCTTTCTCTCAAGCACATCAGCACGTGTGATGATGTCAGCCAAGTCGTCATCGGGGTTGGAGGTGGCGAGCTGATCCACCAAGGAAGCCTAAGCAGGGCTCTGGGGCAGGGGCAACACAGAAGACTAAACCCCAAGTTAAATAGAAGTTCAGGGTTTGGGGTGTTTCAGGTCACCAGTAAGAAAGTGCAATGCTAGTTTTTCTGGAACACAATCTCATGGCCAGCTTTGCAAGCAAGCAGAAGACGATCAAGGAAATCCACACCGTCGGCTTTAAAGTAGTAGTAGCCGAAATCCTTGGACAAGGACTTGCATGTCACCCCACAAGCAGGTCGCTTCCAATAGATGTTCAGCGAGCTGTTCACCAAAGGGCCCTGGCACACCTCACGAAGCTCCTTCTTGAAGGCCGCATCCATCTCTCGGCCACTGTGCTGGCCCACAAACGTCAAGAGCTTTTTCTTGAGCTGCGTCACATTAGGCGAATCCGTCTCGGGCTCATGCTCGGGAGTCTTGCCCCTCTTGCGCTTCAGCACAGGCTTAACCTCCTCCGTTGGCTTCGGCTTCACTTGCTTTGCTTTGGCCTTGGGCTTCGCTGGATCGTGCTTTGTGGCGGAGGCTTTTGCCTTGGCCTTTGCTTTTGCTTTGCTCTTGGGGGAAGCTTTGGCTTTCGGGATGGACTTGCCTTTCGGCTTGGGTCCCGGCTTGGCTCTGCTTTTCGGCTTGATCTCCTCCTCCTCTTCCCAAGCATCCCAATCCTCATCGTCCCAAGTCGGGTCCCATTCCTCCTCCCATGCCCACTCCTCCTGTCGCCAATTCTCCCACTCCTGGCTCTCGCCCGAAGCTTTGGCTTTCTTCTTCACGGACTTGAGCTTCTTAAGCCCACGGCTCTTTCCCCTTGGAAGGACTGCCTTGGCCTTCGCCGTGGCGTTGGCCCTCGCAGCCTTACGCTTGCTCTTCAAAGACAACTGATCACCTCGGGTCACGTTCCCGTTCTTCGCCTGAGTGCTACGGCTTAAAGAATCTCCAGATATATAGCCGCTAGCCCCAACCGAAATACACGCACTATGACAAGCTTTATACGGCTTTAAGGGCTCTCCACCTCGTCGTCACTCTCAGTGAAAGGATCGCCATCACCCTCGCCCGTGGGGTCGGTGACATGATCATCACTACCCTTGCTGCCCTTGGAAGCCTCATCACCATTGATGCCCTTGGAAGCCTCATCACCATTGCTGCCCTTGGAAGCCTCATCACCATTGCTGCTCTTGGAAGCCTCATCACCGCTGCTGCCCTTGGAAGCCTGATCAGTGTCAGCACCTGGCAGAACCATCGTCTGCGTACCTTCTTTGCGCATTCTGCGCTGGTACATCTCCCGCTCTCTTTCGGCCGACATGATGAGCCGGGGCTCGGCACCAACAACCACAGCTGGGGCAGGAGGTGCTGACAGGATGTCGAAAGGCTGTGTCTCTTGACTGTCGGGTGACGGAGTACCGGAAGCAGATCCTGGCACAGAGATGACATACAAACCGCACACGACCCGAAAGATGAGAATTTATGAATGTAAACTGTTTTGTTAGGAAAGAATGAAATATATAGGAGTCCTGCATCTGCACTATCCAAGGACTCCCGTGACCCGGCCGAAGTGGTCTCGGACAGGCGGCTCGACAGCCTGGCAGGGCGGCCGCAAAGCCCGCATTAGCCAATTATAGACTTAAAGCCCCAGTCCCTGTAAATTCCACATACAGAACCCTACATAAACCCCGCTACACCAAAGCATCCAGGTCTTAATTGGAACCGGACAGCCTTTGAAGCTTGCTTTTGATCTCGGCTGCCCTGGACTGAAGCAAAGCTTTCTCATCCTCTGTCATGTTGCCTGAGCTATGAGACGATCTACTGTAGTCCATGCAACCAAGAATGCGGTGTAGCCGTGCATGCGACCAAGCTACACTGCTGCACGAAAGCTTTGCCAGCACTAGCTACCGTCCTCACAGTCTCGATGCGAGCCTCTGGAGCCTTCGGTGGAGAATCTTCAATCTTCACACACATTGGGCCTGGAGCAACTGTGGGAGCACGAGCACGGGGCACATTGGGCTCGGGAGTATCCTTTGGAGCACTCGCCGGAGCACTCGAAGCCGGAGCACTCAAATCACGGGGCACATCGGAGCCGGGAGTAACCTCTGGAGCACTGGTAGGAGCACTCGAAGAAGCATTGCCATTGGAGCTGGAAACATCCTCTAGAGCAGAAGGGGCCCCATCGGAGCTGGGATCGTAGGCATCCTCATCGTCCTTACACCAAGTTACTTTGCTTTCAGAACACTTTCAATACCCAACTTATAATTTTTGGGACCCGTATTAGAATCCAAAAGGTTGTAGGATGGATTTAGGTGAATAGGTAGGGCAGCCAAAAGGCTGGAATTCCTGCCGATGCAGCCGCGGCGACTGCGGCGGCTTTGCGCTCCTCGCGCTTGCGGTTCACGAGGTCGCAAATCTCCTGGCACGGCCGAGGGGTTCTATTTCAGGGTCCTATTATGATTCTGCGACGGAGCCTGCATTTCCGGGTCCAGCAGCACACAGAACTCCTGAAACTCGGGGTCCTCGGATTCGCAGCAGCATCGAAATACTCTCAGAACAGGGAGAGGGAGAGCCAGAGAGATTGAGAAAATAGACAAAGGGTTCCATCAACAAAAAAAACAATCCCACAATAAGGAAAGATTCAGTGGAGACCTCGCCACGTCTGGTTTTGGCCTTGATATGAGACAGCAGTTTCCTGATGTGCCACGAGTCTGCAACGATGGCTTGCGCATCATCCGGATTGTCAACCCGTTTGTTTGCTGCGTAGCAAGCCGTCATTTCAGCACGCAAGTCGCCTACACCAGGTAGCTTCCTGTCACTCTTGCTCATCTTCTCTACAATGGGCAGCAAAATGGGCTTGTTCAAGCAGCAGGTGTTGTTGTCGGTTTTGCTCTCGCTCCTCGGGTGAAGGAATGTAGAGCCGTCCCGAAGCCTGCTTCGGATTTCCGTGCAGCTGTCCCATGTATGATGGATATCGCTAATATCAAGACAATCATCCTTATTCTCCGCCCCACTGCCGGCCATGGCTAGCCTCGCCGAAAGAAAAACCCGCTACAGCAGAGAACCTGGGAGCTCAAATAGCTCTGAAAAACGTGCACTTTCAAGCACTCTCCGATGCAGGTGCCGTGCCGCCGCTCTGCTCTGAGTGATCTGAGACCCCGGCGACGATGCCAGCATCGAAAACGAAGCCATGGTCCGACATTCGAGGGATCAGATGTGTTATCGTGGGATTTAGGGGATTAGGTCTCCCTGGGTACTATATCAGATTTCTATCTTGGTTGGCTGTTTGTAAACTTCGAGGGCTCCGCAATTGCATCTTCTCGCTGCTAAAGCATTGTTGAAGCCTTCGAAAAGAGGCCGATAACGTCTGAGTATCACTCCAAATCCCAAACAAAGAAGCTACTGGCTTCCGAAAACAACTCCAAATCCCAAACCTCGGTTCTATCGAGGAAACCCAGGGTTCGGCTTGCAGCATGCACAAGAACGCAGTTCTGTGATCAGACCCTAACTTTTTGTAGGGTTCGCAGGGTCAGGGTACGAGCTGAACTACTCGACTTTGCTAAAACCCTGAAGTGACTGATACTGTTTTCTTGTGGAGTAGCTGAGAATGGAACCCAGCCAGGGTATTGATGTGGAGCCCGTAAACACCTTCTAGGCCTCTTGTGTAAAGAGTGCAGCGACCCGAAAATCACAGCCCCCAGCCCTGCTACCCTAAGCATTATACACATTTAATAAACGAACCCGATAATCTCTGGAAGCCCTAACTATGTACTCTTTTACTTATTATAGGGCTAGCGGTTTAATGTGTTTTAATTTGATCATGACTGATTGAGTCCCCAGGCTGATTTACACTTATGATACAGTCCTGCAAAACCGTAGACAATTCGTACAGGCACTTCTCCAGGGCAGTAATTCTGCAAAGCCCGTCTCAAAACTTCCCAACAATCCCAAACCCGAAACTATAGAGACCTCAGAATGATAGAACCGGACCATAATGCTGGCACTCTGATTTCTGCCATTCCCGTCCATGTGTATCTGTATGTGTGTGTATAGATCCCTATGAAACCCAAATGCCCCGAATCTCGAACATCCCATGCCTGATGCTGCTGCTGCAAACTTCCGAGCACTGAGCCATCCTTATAGGTTGTCGATACGCAAAGCCTTACAAACCAGTGAGCCCCGACCTATATATCCTGTATGCCCTGTAGCCCAATTAAAGCCCTGTAGCCCAACCTCATGCCCAGTGACCATCATCTCCTCAGCGGCCCTTCCGTCTTAAGTGACATATCTATATAGGATATTGTAGTATGCGCACGTCTGCTAGTCAAGCTTTCTGCAAGGCATTCCGGGCTGGCTTCTGGATGTGCCGCTTTGGTGCCAAGACACCGAAGAGGACTCGAGTGTGGTCAAACAGCAGAGGGATAGGCGCATTCCTCGATCCAAGGCCCCTCTCCAAACAGGAAAAAGCCCGGCTCGTGAAGACTACACTGGTTAAAAGGCATACCGACCCCAAGACAGGGACGAAGCGATTCACAGGGAAAGCCAAGGTGCTGAAAGACTCCGGGTGCCTTCGTATAGTATGTTGAGCGATGCTTTCCAATCGTTAAATGCAGTGTAGGGTTATAGGGTATATATGGGCTGCATGTAGTTACACCCTTCTGAAAGCCAAGGCAATACCCATTTCCTTTCGGGCTACGATTTGTGCGTGCATTTCCACGACTGCTTTCTGAGCGAGTCCCGGCACACCACCAGGACACTTCTCGACATTGCAATAGCGCACTCTAAAACCTCAACACCCTGAAAACCTTACATGCCCCAGCTCCTGCCAGGCCCAAGAGATGGATCAGACCAGCGACCCCAAGGTGGCTCTCTCCGACAAGAGGCTGTATGAAGATTTGTGGGATGACGCCCGAATGACGGAAGTGATCGTTTACCTCCGAGGAGCCACGAATCTGGCACTACCGGAGGATTGGAAGTGTCTGTTCCCCCAAAGTTTGCCTCCTAGTTAACGGACAATGCCAAAAGTTTGCCTCCTAGTTAACGGACAATGCCCCGGCAGGCCCAGATCTGCATGTGTAAAGTAAGAGTAGGCGGTGACTGTCAGGCAAACTTGATCATCCTGCTGTTGTAAGAACAACAGCTGCTGCTTTCGAAGTGATCCTTTCAAAGGGCCCGCCCTATAGTGATAGTGATGCCAGGTGTTGGGTTTATGGGGGCTCCGGGTTTGCGTAAACTTTGGGTGCTTACTGCGGGTTGTTTTGTTTTGGGTCCGTGTGGGCTGTTTTGGGGCCGAACCCGAAAAGGATACACAGTGACGATTAAAACGTACGGTGGCGTACGTATAGCGAAAAGTGGCGTACAAAAGCGTACCGTCCGTAGCCATATTACTGCCACTTTGTCTTGCTGCTTTTTGCCCTATGATGCCCTGAAATCACCGAAATCACCCTGCAAGCAGTGATCTTGATCTATACAGGGTGATCTCCTTTAGGGCTCGAAGTGATCATTGTTGGGGTTGAAGGCCCCATGGCCTCGAGCAAAGCTCCAGTCCATCTTCCATCACGACAGTGGTCTTGCAATAGCCTCCTGCAAGGGCAATCATACATGGATCGGCAGAAGTTTCAGCTGGACGACTCTCTCAGTCTTTCAGACAAGTTGGCGGCTTCCTGGTTAATTGATGTAGATAGTGTACGTAGAACCAATCTATATATGGGTCTTGTTCAGGCTGCAAGGCAGCGCTTGGAGCTGCTTCGTGTGGCGCGGCCGGGTCCGCCAGAGACCCCGCCCGCTGCTGAAGAGGGCCGTTTGCACGAGAAGAACAACCCACCCGAGAACAACACAGCAAAGCCGACGAGCCCAGCCAAGAAGGCAAAGACTCGGGCAAAGCAGACCACACCAGACAAGAAGACAAGCACTCCCGCAAAGCAGACCACACCAGACAAGAAGACAAGCACTCCCGCAAAGCAGACCACTCCAGACAAGAACACAAGCACTGAAGCACAGCAGACCACTCCAGACAAGAACGCGAGCACTGAAGCAGAGCAGACCACTCCAGACAAGAGCGCGAGCACTGAAGCAGAGCAGACCACTCCAGACAAGAACACAAGCACTCCAGCAAAACCTTCCAGGAAGCCCACCCCGGCAAAGACACCCACAGCCAAGGCGACCAGCAGTCCGTCCAACAAGAGTGGTGCATCTGACTCGACCAGCCCAGCCCCAACCACAACAGCTTCTGAGCAGTCTGGTACATCCGCAAGGAAATCGGTTGCGGTTAAGGTAGAGATGACCAGCCCTAGCAAAGTCTCGGAACCAAGCGCTGAGAAGGATCCCTACGAAGAGGACCCAGTATCATCCCTGAATAGGTATAAACATCCCTGAAACTCCTGCTCGCAGATTCGTCGGTGACATCGAAGCCCAGTCCGGAGAGCAATACCTTAGCTCGCAGGACGAAGCCAGCGAAACGGATGCGAAAGACGACCGCTTGCAGAAGTCTCTCCAGGCTGGGTGTGGGTTTTTTAGGCTAATGTTCTGTATGGGTTCAGGGGTATGATTATGCGCACAAGGCTTCCGCACACGCAGCAGTCGTGTGTCCTACTCATGCAAAGCATCAGCGATCCGTCCCTGCACGTGTGAGTCAAGCAGCCGTCGTGTGCCCTTTGTATATATGTAAAGCAAACGCACTCCGCCCCCAGCATAAACGAATTCCATACCCAATGCTCTTCTCGGAAAGTCTTTAATGCATTCTCCGTGGAGTCGTGTCGTTGACCGCAACGAAGGCTGCCAGCAAGCCGAAGGCCCCTGACGAAGGGCTGGAGTTTGGCAACGGCAAGGCAGTCGGCACCGTCGGGTTTTCTTCTGCATGTTTCATTATAATTCTCCCTCTAAACTCTATCCCCCCAGGTACGGTTGCATGTCACGTCACATGAACAGTAGTGTCGGTATGTTATCGTTGTTGTGGTTGTTGTTGGTGGCCTCTCTCTCTCTCTCTCTCTCTCTCTCTCTCTCTCTCTCTCTCTCTCTCTCTCTCTCTCTCTCCTGCTCCGGTGCTCTCACTCGCTATTCCTCTCCCTCTGTCTCGCCCTCTCCTTCTCTCAACCGACGTCAACCTGTCTCCTTCTCTGTTCTATGGTCTGTGGTCCGTATATACACATCTATATATATATATATATATAGGTATGTATGTATTCGTGTATATGTATCGGTTCATACATTTACAGAATATATATATATATATATATACACATGTTGTGTACATGTGTCTGCATGTATACATGTCAGCAAGCAAGGAAGTAAATAAGTGTGTGTGTATGCATGCATGTATGTATGTAAGTGTGTGTACACACACATGTCTGTACATTTTAATAGATGCAACTCCTATGTCTAGTTGCATATAATTATTGCCCTCGTATGCATGCATGTATGTATGTATGTATGCATGTCTTTGTGTCTGTTTGCATATGTATGTATGTATGCATGTGTGTATGCATGTATGTGTCTATGTGTATGTACGTTTGCATAATCATTATATATGTGCACAAATATACTTACTCACACAGCTAGACGCATGTCTCGCTCTCTGGCTCTCCTCCTTTACTCTTGGTCGTGTATGCAAAGTTGTATGGTTTGACTTACGTTGGGTTTATGTTTCGTGGGATTCTGCGCTGCAGGACTGTAGCAAAGCTTGGAGGCGAGCAGAGGCAAAGGTTCGTCGTATGGTGAAGCCAACCGCTCGCTCCCGGACTGTGGCTTCTTCCCCGGACATTGTGAGTAGATGGGATGGAGGGGGTGACTTGAGAAATGATCTTATCCGGACAATGATGAAGTGCGATGGACAGAAGGACGGATAGGGGTCATGGACCATAGTACATTAGCTGTTCCAGTCGGTACGTCACTTTAAATCTTCGATCGCTAAAGCAACCCCACAGGATCTATGGAAGCGCACAGTGGAGATTCAGATCATCAAGAGTAAGTCCAACGAGCTTACGATTGTGTGCGGTTGGTACACGAAAGAAAAGATGAGGACGCAGCTGAAATTCAGTCCGTCGGGGCCTGTTGCTTCGAATGATACTGGTTGGTGGGTCTTGTTTTGATCTACACACCGCTTAGGCAAAGAATAAAGAAGGTCATCAAGTTTTGCACCCACCCGAAGCGCATCAAGACCCACACGAGGCCTGCAGGGTTCCCCTATGTACAATAATTAAGTAGCTAGAGCCTTATGTACCGGTACCGTTGCCTTCTTCCATGCATGTCCAGGCGGGATAAGTACGAGAGAGACAAGGTCGAGTATTGGGTGGAGGAGGAGACGAAAGGAAGCTACAAGGTGCTTCAACAAGAATCATGGAATGACAAGCGGGAGATCGACGTCACCGGGGGCATGGATTTGGATGAGGAGAAGAGCGCAAACGATGGCACAGATGATGAGAGTGACGATCATGATGATGATGGGCACAGTGGGTCATCGAGCTCCTGTGAGAGTGCTACAACATCCCCGAAGAAACGAAAGCGAGGGTCATCCAAGAAAGCGAAGAAAACGAAGAAGGCAAAGAAGGAAAAGAAGGAAAAGAAGTCAAAGGACAACAAAAAGCGGAAGGCCAAGAGAAACAAGAGTTCGGCTTCTTCCAAAGGAAGCCCAACCAAGAAAGAAGATTTGGAAGAGGAAACCCGGGCCGAGGCCACATCTAGGAAACTCATACTCCTTTCCTATCACTGCTTGTCCCAGCCTCCAAGGCGATGGAAAACGCCACCGAGGTGATGCAGCAGATCCTTCGTGTCCAGGCGAAGGTGGAGGTTTGTGTGGGAAAGCTAGAGAAGCTTTCGGGGGCAAAGGCCGAGGCGTGTTTTGGCTGCAGGGTTGCTGCGGTTCACCTGTCGCATGCCTTAACAAAGGGTCTTGATACACTGGAATGTCCAACCGAATCTATAAGGTCGTTGAAGGTGGTTCACGACTACGGTACCAAGCTGGCGCAGTATCATGACGAGTTGGCCGATATCCGAGCATGCCACGCTGGCAAGAAGCAGCCCTTTTGTGAGACGCCACTTGCATCAATTTAGGGTGATCATATTCGTGCTTCAATAATGAAACCGATGATCCTTGGTTCATCTTGTGGCCACCCCTAGGTCGCTGAAGAAGCTACAGGACATCGTGGTGAATGCCGAAAAGACGCCAAGCTCCTACAGTAACAGCAGTCAGCACACGAAGTTTAAGCCCCGCAAATCATGTGCCCAGGTCTGCCAGGTTCAACATGGAGGACACCAAGCTCAAGAGGATCGCTGCATGCATGTTGCCTATGCTTCTGGGGAGATGACGACAATGGCTTGATAAGGATAGTTTAGTCGTGCTGGCTATTTGTCATGCTTGTCAAGTCGATCACTACCTGGTGATGCTACTGCTACTGCTGCTGCTGCTGCTATCAATGCTACCGCTAGTGGTGCTAGCAATGCTGCTGTCCTGCTGCTGTGGCTTGGATGACGATGGCGACGACGACTGCCAGACCAGGCACAGCTACTCGGGCTAGCAGTAGTAGTAGTAGTACTACTAGTAGTAGTAGTAGTAGTAGTAGTAGTAGTCGTAGTCGTAGTCGTAGTAGTAGTAGTAGTAGTAGCAGTAGTATAAGTAGCAGTAGCAGTCCCGTTCCATGTCTTTTACTCCGACCTATAGTACCACTACCACCACCACCACCACCACCACCACCACCACCACCACCACCACCACCACCACCACCACCACCACCACCACCACTGAATTTCTTCTACTTGTATATGACTTCTGCCACTACCCGTACTACTCCTACACTTACACTTCTTCCCTAAAACCGCTGTATAAACCCAGCATGAGCTCTCAAAGCTTGTACTCCTTATGAGCCGTGCATAACATTAGCCTTAAGCCCATACCTCCATGAACTCTCGAGGCCAAGTTCCGAGACCCAAAAGCGACCCCAAGAACCCTAGATTTACAGGCAGACGAGCTGCCCGTTGCAGCCCTGCCCCTTCGGGGACTTCACCAGTCTTTTCCTCAAGGTCATATAGGGTCTAGATAGGGTTCAAGTAGTTGCATGAGCTTACATTATATTGGTTCCGTGGGTCCTTTGGAACAGGGCTTAGGGTTTGTTTGTATTTTTGCGAGGACTATGCTCACCACACCGGACCGACTAGTTGAACCATTATGTAAACACACGCCCAAAACATATTGGTCATAGCAGCGAGACAACTTAAACCACGATGCAATCGACCACGTTGGCCCAAGTACTTCGCAGCACTACTAGGGCTAGTCGTCATCAACCACAGTTTGCAGTGCTGCGTGGCAAAACTACAGATCTGAACATAGTTCTAATCTTCCTGGATGTGTGGTCTCCTCGCAACACAATATATGCCCATACTCAATCGCCTATGTGTGCAGGACTTTGCTGAAGAAGGGGGCCTCCAAGGCCGATGTGGAGGAGGCTGCTGCGCCCAAAAGAGGTGCTAAGCCCAAGACAAGCAACAAGCGCAAGGCGGCTGTTCCTAGCAAGGTTAAGAGCCGGCGACGCAAGTAAGTTTTGGTAGGACCTGTGCGGCCTGCTGCTAGATATGTATCTACACCTTAAGCCCTTTGTAACCTGAAACCCCGGAGTCTTCGCTAAACCCGTGGCCGCAAGCAGCGCACTTGCCGCAGTGCTCTCTGTGAGAGCTGCTTCTCACGTTTTGCCGCGAACGGATCTCCAGGTTGGATTCTACAGCGAGTGTAATATCATCTTTAAAGTGTCGTCTATACCCCGTTCAAACAGGACGATGGTGGTGCTCCAAGAGGATGATCCTTCTTTTCACTCCAGTTGTCATCACGGCTGGAAGTTTACTCAGTTCCCGTAGAGCAGTGCTTCGCACACAAAAAAAAGTTCGACCGATCTTACACAACCGTACAGTAGCCACAATGTTTTGCAACCAAGAAGCAGCACGCAGGCAGTAGTGCGAAACGGCAACGACAAGCTGGTCCCGTGGCTGGTCCTGTGGCCCATGCGATTGCGGAAACTGTGGCATGTGGTGTTCGTTGGTGGATATAGAGCATTATAAGTTTTGTTCTTTATATTGTGCTAGCCTAAATACTTACTGCAGCTGACACCGCTGCTTTGGGTTTGATCCGGCTTGGAAAATTTAGTCTAGGATGTGTCTCGGGCCCCCAAGGTTAGTGAGGCACACGCTTGCAAAATCGCAGAAGCGATGCATCGAGAGTTGCAGGACCATCCACGTATCCAGTCGTCCGGCTTCATTTCGCGGCTACAAAATCTTCATACAACTGGGCATGACAACCGGATGCCCAGTGTATTAAAAGATTATGGTTTGCAAGCAGATATTCCTACGACGCATGTTCCAATTGGCCTCAACCACCCACACCCTGTGCTGCGACTACGAGATGCAGTGCAAACTTTCGATACGGTTGGCAAAGTACACCATCTGTTTGCAGGGAATGGACCCCAACAGTTGAAAGACTTCTGGTGCAATCTGCGAAAGCTACACCCTGGCTACGATGTGTTCGCCACCCATGGCGATCGGTTGCATGCATGCTTGCCCATGATGTTGCACCTGGATGAAGGTACAAGCCACAAGAAGAAAGGCATTATGGTGTTATCGGCGCAGATAGTGCTTGGAAGGGGTTCCCGTCGAAGTGCGGGACATAATTTCCTTGGTTCGACATATCTATCGCGACTGCTGTTTTCTGCCTTGTTGGCGAGGACATACAGCAAGAAAAAATCCATACTGTATTCTCTTTTCGAGGAATGGACTCGAGACTTGGAGGACTGCTATCGCAACGGCATCAACATTTCTGGTGTTCCTGGAATCCAAAAACTGTATCCTGTGGTGCTCGCCTGTAAGGGCGACTGGCCTGCACTTACCAAGGCAGGTCGTTTGACGAGGCATCACTTACGGGATGCTCCATCATCGGAGTTCCCACCTGGGATTTGTCATCTTTGTCGAGCCGGCCAGGCCGGCTACCCTTGGAATGCATTCGAGTCCAACTCGGCATGGATGCGTGGTGACAACCCTCTTCCTTGGACTACGGCTTCCTCTTTGTCAAGGCTTGCTCAAGACAAGCTGAATCCAGCGAGCTTCTTTGCAATTGACACATTCCACGTCTGCCACAAAGGCGTGGTTGCTGACTATGCTGCTTCGGCTGCGGAACCCTAGCCGAAAACAAAGACAGCCCACCAGGTTTCATCAAGGTTCATATATGGACATGTATAGCTTCTTCGGATGTTTTGCGGTTGGCTTTTATCAAACCAAGGCAACGCTGTCAGATTATCAGCTACTGGGAGCTTCAAAGGACTTCACGAAGCACCTGCAGGTTCTTTACGATGAGGCCCGTGAGTGGTGCGCTGATCATCACGAGTATCTTCATATGACTGGGTTGACAAAAGAACTTCTGGGTCTGGATACGATGGCCGACTATCCAGTCGGGTGTCTATGCATGTTTCATCATGTTTCAGTCTTGTCTCGGGTTGTCGGGTTGTTGCAGGCCATGACTATATAGCGGTATGGTTTAGGGTTTTGGGGCTGTCGTGGTCGAGGATAGCCTCATGTAGCATCAACGAAGGTAACGCAGGGTAATTGCTTAGGAAACTGTTACGGGGTTGTTTCGGTTTTTTTTTGAATCAAGGCGGTGGTTCAAAGGCGCGGACACGCCTCTGCTGGCCAAGTTTCTTGAATACAAGTACGAACGTGTTTTGGCAGACTGCGACGATGCTGACGAACCTGTTTTCCGGACCATATATGATGGACTAAAATTCATCAACAACTTCATGAGATCCATCTACTCGCAGCCTTTATGGATTCAGCCGAACGACGCGAACGACATCGCCCAAATGGGCCTTGGCTTCATGCGAGCCCTCAACCAGGCAGCCAAGCAAGCCCTCGACTTGCAGAGACCCAGATTTAAAATCCAGCCGAAGCTTCACTTATTTGCACACTTGGTGAACGGTATGTTTCTGGAATCGCAATCCGGGGCCCAAAGCCTCAATATTTTGGCATTCAGCTGCCAATTGGACGAGGACTTTATTGGAAAGATATCAACACAGAGCAGGCATGTGTCCATTAGAAGTGTACATAGCCGAACGATCCAACGGTACTGCCTGAACCTCGCACTCAAGTGGTAAAACGATCGGTCCTCGCAGGCTTTCGTAGTCGCGAGCAGAAGCAGCCCAGGCGTCGTTCGGATTGGCAAGGCTATGTGGCATTCTGCTTGTCTTTTGTCAGAAATGGCTGGGGTCAGGGTCTTCATCTAAGGACTTCATTAGCAGTTTTACTCTGCTTCACCGGTGTATGGTTATAACCTCAAGCGGAGCTATACTTATGATCTCGATACAAACACCAAGAATCTGCCACTTTAAGCCAGTGGCGGAAACCCCGGTCACTGTGACCTGTTGCACTTAATGAAGGCACACCAGGCTTTCCAGGTAGGGTTTAGGGTGCAAGAACTAGCAAGAGCTGAAGTAAACTCGGAAAAAGTGGCCTTCAAACCTCACATGTACTACTTATGTATTCAAGGGAGTGTCGCCGCAAGGGTCCTCGAGCCTGCAAAAGAGCCCTCTCGATGAGATCCGCCAATACATCCGTGGAGACAGCATTCAGACCCTCATCTCCGGTGTAGGGTTTAGGGCTTTAGTGTTTTAGTGCTTTTAGGTTTAGAGGTTTAGGGCTTTTGCGTTTTAGGGTTGAGGGGTTTAGGGCTTTAGTGTTTTCGGCGTTCTCGGATCTAGGGATTTAGGGCTTCAGTGTTCTTGGGATCGAGGGATTTAGGGCTGTCGCGTTTTACATAGGGGGTAGGATTTAATCAGGGGTTTAAGCCAGTGTCGGTGCAGAGGTTCCAGGGTTTGTGTTCCAGGCGCCCGGTTTGGTCTTCAAGGGTTTAAGGTGTCGGGCTTAAGGCATTCTGGTTTGGAGTTTAACCTCGGGTCTTGGATTTGCTTTAAGTGGAAGAGAAACTGAATGAACACCTAAGCTCAACAAATCTCTGGGGCTTGGTTGGCGTAGTTGCGGGTGCAAGCTTCGACAAGTAGGGCAAGCCAGCTTGTATTGTTTTTATGAAATGTATGAATTACAGCGTTGTTTTAAAAGGGTTCTACGGTTTAGGATGTAGGGCTCTAGTGCTCCGGTGTGCATGGTGCGAAGTTTAAGTTTCGTAGCTCTGTATGGTGCATTGCCGGTTTGGGTTTTCAGCCGTAGTGCATACTTGCCAGATTGTCTCGCCGTCTTTGCGGGTCCTAGTATTGGCATTGAACAGGGCCTGCTAGTTTGACCTCAATGCGGGCATTTCCGAAAGGCAGGAAAACCACGTGTTGCAAAACATACACAGTCGGATCTTGGTTTTGTAGACCAAGAACTTAGCTTGGGTATTCCTAGCTATCGGAACTCCCCTTCGAATCACAGCCAGGAATCGGGCGTGATTTTGCAGCTGAGGCTTCTGCATCTCTACATGATGCACGACAGCGGGTCTGGTGCACAGGAAGCAGTCTTCGGGTGCACCTCTTTTGGCACAAGATGCGGGCAACACACCGTTCAGAAAGTAAGAATGGATGCCCACACACTAGGGTTCTTCGTCCTCGGATGCCTGTCTTGGTCGCCCAAATCGGTTTAGGGTTTAGGGTTTAGGTAACCATAGAACCTCGCTTTATCTTTCTGCGCTGCTATCACGTCGCTCAATCGAACCATGTCTCGAAACCATCCCGATCCTAAAACTGCAAGGGTCGGATGCGGCTCATTTAATCTATAAGGTTACTGATCGCTTCCGCAGATTCAAAACAACCTCCTTGATGTTGTTGAAACTCGTTTCCGGAGCATTTGGCCCGTAATGCGACCGAAATGGAGTTTTAATGGGCCAAGATACAGTACGAATAGGGGCTATTAGGGGACCTATAACTACTTGCTTAATCTGTACCGAAGCGCTCGCTCTGTCTCTCTCTCTCTCTCTCTCTGTCTCTCTGTCTCTCGCAGAGTTGATGTTTGGGGATTGTCCCAGCATCCGAAACCTTGCGATTGCAAGAGCGAGTGTCCTAGAACGCGTCACTTGAGTTGCCAGAGTTTGGGCTTTCGGGAAATGTCCAAAGAAAGGTTGTAGAATAAAGCACCGAGCAATGGAAAGATTCAGCGTCACCACGGCTAATCTTCAAACACGGCCACGGAAAATCAATCTTAATATTGAGGGGATTTTGTTCGGGCGAAGACTTTAAAAGGTTACCACAGCGCTCCTTTCCTGTAAGCCGTGATGCCTGGTTTGCCACCCAACTTCTTCTTCCATCGGAGGTTTTGGATTTGAAACCCGCTATCTTCCGTTGCTAGGTTTGGGCCCTTGCCAACCACATCTCCTTCGCAGGTTTATGTCTTGCCACCCACCCTAAACCCCTAAACCCTAGGCCCTTAACCCTTAAACCCTAAACCCTAAACTCCCTAAACCCCACTTGTGTAGTTTGGAGTTTCCCGCCCAGCTTGTAGCGTGAGGGGCTTACCTGCGAGGATCTTGTTGCACGCTAAACCATTACCTTCCAACGCAGCCTGAATCCCTAAGCCGATAGACACCAAATAGCAAGCCCTCAAACCCTCCACCCACCAGAGCTGTGCAAGCCCAGTGCCCCGAACCCGGAAACATCGAAGCACCGAGCTATATCCACATGTGCATAGTCTAAGCCTGTAGCATGAATTTGTTTTCCTGCAATGCTACCGAAGCCCCGAACCCTAAACCCTGAACAGTCTTTATGGATTTAGACATTAGTTCATTCATGGAATATGGTTTGTCGGTGCATTGTGCACCAAATTCAACGAATCGCCAAACTCAACGAAGAACAATCGACCGGCCCTTCGCTGAATGCTGGCCAGGTCGAGGTTTCAGGGTCCACGGGGGTTCAGTCAGGTCAGGGCCTAGAGGGCCTCGGGTCTAGGGCCTAGGGTTCAATTTTTGGGGTTCAGGGCATGGTTCCGGATGATTTAGGGTTCAGGGCCTAGGGTCCCTTTCATAGGGTTTAACGGATATTCTGGGGCTCTATCATAGGATTACACAGCTGCTACAACTCGCTGATTAGGGTGTGAAGTTTAAGCTCTCAGGTTCAGGATGTAGCTTCTAGGGCTTCGCATCTGAGCTCTATCTCAATGTTGAGAGTTCCTGGGTGGGTGGGTACTTGTCTAGATAGCGAGCTCGACTAGAGACTGCTCGATCTCGATCAGGAACTTCGAAGCCCTAAACCTGAAACCCTAAACCCTAAACCCTAAACCTGAAACCCTAAACCCTAAACCCTAAACCCTAGGACTGAGTCCAACAAGGCCCTTCACACACGTGAGTGGTTGTCAAAGTTAGGGTCCCTTTTAGGATTTAGGGTTTAGGCGTTTAGGGTTTAGGGTTTTGGGTGCCGTATTATAGTAGGTACCCAAGAAGGGACCATAATTTTGACAACCACACACGTATGACTTAATGAAGTTAGCCCTCTGATAAAGCGTCGGAGTAATCACTAACGGTATCCCCTCATAGTTCCTACATAGCTTCGCACCATACGTACCTCCAAACCCTAGCCTAATTATTCAATTATCAAGGCCGCTATTTTAGACTGGTATCAGCAGGCAATGTAAGACACCAGTGGTTCTCTAACCTAAGCTTAAACCTGAACAGTAATAGTAGGGGCGCCAAGACGAAGCTGCGGACGAGCCACGTTCTTCCGTAGAGCCGCTGGCTGTTGGCTTACAACCCATCGCAATCACCCAGGCTTTGGGTGCAGGATTCCGTGCTTAGGGTTAAAGCTCTTGTATCTGCACCCTAGACTCTAGCACCGTATACCCTAATCCCGAAACCCCCAGCACTCTAGCACTGAATCAACCCTAAACTCCAAACCCTAGAAGGGCCACGCAGACTAAACCCAAAGGGTTCTAGGTACTGTTATGGGGGATACGTCCCCAAATCATGATAGTAATTCCTGATATAAAAACCATACATTCTACCATTTCGGGTACTTAGGACCCTTTGGGAAAGGAAGTTGGCCGTTGGTTCCAGCTCGCTGGGCTGAAATCGACAACTCCCCGAGGCTTTGCTCCAATCTAGGACAGAAGTTGAATGTGCCTTAGCTAACAATTGATATTATGGGAGCTAAGGAGCCAGAGATTAAAATAACAGAAAAATAATCCCTATTAAATAAGGAGCACAAGAGCCA